GGTATTTGTGCGTAAGTTAATATAACGAATCCGACTGGAATTAGAACCCTGCCCTCTGATTTTTCTAATTCTCAGCCGGATAACTATGTCAGCTTGTAAGACTATTGATATATACTATGATTAAGTCAGGAGAACGAACAGTACTAATGCCCTGTGAGACTAACTCGTAATATATGAGGATCGTCCGGCTATTTATTCATCTATTCAACATAACTTATTCTGGCGTTAAAATTTTGGCTCGCTTTAAATTGAAATACTGGTCAAAATATGAATGCGATTCTACGAGTACAGTATTCAGAGATCATGAAATAATTTTAATAAATGATAAAAAATATTTTCAATAAATTTAAAACGATACTTACTTCGATGTCGCATCGATTTGTAGTCGGAATGAAGAGCTTGTCGATGACGTCATATCAAGATGGCGGCTCGCATCTTCAGTTACATGACACTCCAAATGTCTACAAGAATCGCTGTTAAAAGCTTCTATTGAAGGACCCAAGATAGAGAGAGAAGAAGGGAAAATGACTGGGTCATTTAGAGAGGACGAAGTTGAAAAGGATAAAAAGAAAAAAATATATTTCGAAAAAATGAGAAAAATTGAGCAATGAATAATAGCTTAGGCAGAGAGAAAGAATAAACGAAAAAAATAAGAGAAACAAGAATAATGTGGAATGAGATGGGTGTAGATGCGAGGTGAGGAATATCTGAGTAGACGCTACGTTGATTTATTAAACCGTATATTTATTTATTTTTGTCTACATGTCTGAATGTTAGATGAATCTTATTAAAGAAAAGATGCATCCTCCTGGAGGATTCGAACCTGTGTCCACCTAGCAGGCGAAACCGTCGTTAGATCCGACTTGTTTTAGACCAACTCGGCTACGAAGGGTCTCGCTAAATGAGCGAAACCGAATCGGACTCTTAAGCGCAAATTTCTTCAAAGATTCTCAAAACATTCATATACGCTCAGTTTCGTATCCCAATGTAAACAAAATAATCTTCTAAAGAAGTAATGAATTTTTATTTATTAATCCGAAAATTTACTGTTTAATAATTAAACGGAACTTCTGCACAAACATACACAAAAAATAACTTTTTAGTGATAAAATCTCTCGGATTAATAAATAAAAATCTGTTAGTTCCTTGTAAATATTGAAGTGGGTATTAGGGTCAACACCAAGCAATAACATTCTGTTTTATGCTTGAACTCAATCTTCAACCTCATATGGTCTGAAGATTGCGTTAAAAAATGAAACAGTCGTTGCTTGGTGATGACGTCAGTGTCGCATTTTATATTTGCAAATAGTCTATCTCTGATATCTCTACCTCTGATTACTTTTACTCATAAATATAGCATACCGTAAAACAACATTTTTTTCATATCTATCTATCTATCTATCTATCTATCTATATATATCTATATATATATATATATATATATATATATATATATATATTAAAGAAAAACAGACCAATTTTTAAGGTTCCATTTATAATAATTTATTTCATTTCGTTTCGTTTCATCTTTTGGAAGTGCTATCTGATGATCCAGCGTCCTTTAAAAGGGCTCAGGTGAAATAAATTGTTATAAATGGAACCTTAAAGTGGTTTGTTTTTTTTTTAAAATATTAACTCTGAATTTACATTGAGCTCTTAGGATTTTATCCTCCTTGGGACTACCCATACGGATTACCAAGTTTTTCATAACTTAAATATATATATATATATATATATATATATATATATATATATATATATATATATATATATATGTGTGTGTATTATATATATATATATATATATATATATATATATATATATATATAAATGTAACAAATGTATATATATATATATATATATATATATATATATATATATATATATATATATATATATATATATATATATATATATATATATATATATATATATAATGTATATTTGGATAGCATTTTTTCTTTCAAATGTTTCGTCAACGGTAATTTGATGATTTTTTTTATTGAGTTTTTCTTGTGTTCCTAAATGTTTAAATCCGTACTGTCTATCGTCCCAAGTGCTTTCGGACATTTCTTTACACACACACACACACACACACACACACACACACATATATATATATATATATATATATATATATATATATATGTAGTAAGAGACAGAGAGGATACTAAAAATGAATACAGAAAAATAGTGAGTTTAAAAATAGATCTTATTGCCTCAGTCTCACCCTTTCCCTCTATTTATCTCGCGTTATATATATATATATATATATATATATATATATATATATATGGATACAGAGATTGATGATTAGATAGATAGATATAGGCATATTAAAAGAAGATTACTGATTCTTAAAAAGGAGACTGAATTATTAAAAAAAATTAATTACCGTAATAATCTCCAATCAACGATATTCAACGGCCTATTCAAGTACCTTTTGAGAGATCGTCTGCACATGTACACGCACATACATACATAAATATATACATATACGCACATCTATATATTTGCATACACAACTAGAAAATGTGACTCAACGCGCATGCGTCTATATGTTTTGCTTTCTCTGAATAAATTTCTTCACGTGTTTTTTGTAACGATGCGGGTGAACGATTTAAAGAACCCATCTGTAATAACTATTTGCATGCTGGTATATATAAGCTTAGGATAGTCTGGTATAAGGCTGCGGGGAGATGAGATTCGTTTTAATCTTCTAAGTAGGTAAGTTTGTTCGACTAATGACAGAAAATAAGTAAGCCCATCAAACAGATATCCGCTAAAAATAAAGTTTGAAGGAATAAAAATGTCTGATTAAAAATAAATCCATTCAGAAATTTCTATATACGAGGATCGGCTGGAAAATTACTAGGCTGACCAAGATATAAATGTAAGGAAACACACCAGTTGTTAAATTAAAAGACATGCAAGTCTACCCGAATATGTCTGTCTTGTTGTAGCATACCTACGGACGATAATGGGTATGTCTATATTCACATAAATGCAGTAGTAAATACTGTATGTTGGTCTGCAGTTGGAGATTCATTGTGGAATTCACTTGACTCACTTCTACTTCTTCTATGCACTGCTGCCAAATCTTATATGTGTTGTTCTTGTCCTAAGTATTATCATTCATTACCAACCTTTGTTTGATTATTCTATTCAGTAACCTTCCCTAGGTTACAACAAATAGTTACTGTAATTATGAGTGCAAAAAAATCACCTATATCTTTACTAAAAGAGATTCTGGATAACCTAGAATCTATTCCTTTAGGGATGTGCTTATTATGTTCGCATGGTGGTTAGATGTTATGTTGTAGTATACCTACAGATGATAATGGGTATGTCCCCATTCACATAAATACATTAGTAAATACTGTATGTTGGTCTGCAGTTGAAAATTCATTGTGGAATTCACTTGACTCACTTCTAGCATTTGACTTCTTCTACGCGCCGCTGGCGAATCTTATGTGTTGTTCGTGTCCTAAGTATTATCATTCATTACCAACTTTCGTTTGATTATTCTATTCAGTAACACTCTCCAGGTTACAATATGTCTATATCTCTGAGATGAGGTATTATGATTAATACATTAATTATATTATTCACAACGTTTCGGTCGTTGTACGCTCCAGCCTTCTTCAGCTTATTGAAATTTCGATCGAATCCTTTATTCCGTCTTTCAGGGTATACAGATCTGTTATACATCACATTATATATTTTCTAGATAAATGTCATAAAGTAATGCAAATACTCACAGTGGGTGTGCACACAGAATTGAGAACTGATAGCCAGGCCCTATTGAAATCCGTGTCTATATCTTTGAAATGAGGTATTATGATTACTTACATTATTTACATTATTCGGACTGTTATCCTCATCTTCATTGCCATATTCACAACGTTTCGGCCGTTGTATGCTCGGGTCTTCTTCAGATGATTAGAATTTTGAACCTAACCAAAATAACTGAGACATCCGGAAGAGGCATGGCATGTCGAACTAAAACAATCTACCCCGAAATAAAGGGCTCGAAATTCCAATCACCTGAAGAAGGCCAGAACGTACAACGAACGTTGTGAATATGGCAATTAAGAAGAGGATAACAGTCTGAATAATGTAAATAGTTTGGTTTAGTTTATTTTGTTTAACGGCATATCAACCTCAATGGGTTATTTAATGCTGACAAAAAATTTTATTGCTAGTAATATTTTGTTTTGTCAAAAATCTGTTTCTGGTAATATATTTCCTTCAAAATTGTATTGCTAGTAATTTTTTTTTCAAAAAAGTATTGCTGGTAATTGCTGGTGTTCCCAGGTCCACCTGGGAACACCAGCATTTAAGAGGTGGTTCCACGCTCCTCAAAACCTCCTGATAAGAGCCCTTGCTGCTGGACATAGTTTAATGTCTTACCCTGGACACGGATGTAGTTTAACGTCTTACCCAGGACGCGAATAATGTAAATAATGTAAGTAGAATGTAGCCATATTGTAATATGGTACTGTCTATAAAATCGGTTGTTTAATTTATATCTTGGTCATCCTATAAACTATCCAGTCTATCTTCGTACATGTATGTTTAAAATCGTGTTTAAAATATAAATATTCGTTATATTCCGTGCTAAGGGAATAAACACACAACACCAGATATTAGAAGAAAGAAGAAACACAACAAGTACAATATGAAATACGGTACAGTTATGCACACAGGTCAATCTAGTAGTGAGTACCCCTAATTGGAAGGTCGGACGTGCTTGTGTCGTCTACCACTTCACTTACACTCTATCCTAAGTCTCTCGTAGACAGCAGTCTTTATAGGTACTTACTACCTATAGTGTAATCATTCATGGGGGTGACTGGTTATTCCATTACATCAATATTAAAAACTGAGAGGCGACTCGAGTTTCGGCATTAGGCTCATCATACGCCCTAAGTCAATAATTATTTACTTCATTAAATAAATATGCATCGCGCTGGATAACATTTTAAACCGCTTTACAG